ACTTCAGAGTCTATTCCTTCCATCATGTCGTTCACATATATCAAAAATAGCACTGGTCCTAGAACTGACCCCTGTGGGACCCCGCTCGTAACAGGCGCCCACTGTGATACCTCTTCACGTACCATGACTCGTTGCTGCCTCCCTGTCAGGTATTCCCTTATCCATTGCAGTGCCCTTCCTTTTACGTGTGCCTGATCCTCCAGCTTCTGCACTAATCTCTTGTGGGGAACTGTGTCAAAGGCCTTCCTGCAGTCTAGGAAAACGCAATCTACCCAACCCTCTCTCTCATGTCTTACTTCTGTTACCTTGTCATAAAACTCCAGGAGGTTTGCGATACAAGATTTGCCTTCCATGAACCCATGCTGGTTTTCATTTATAATCTTGTTCCTTTCCAGGTGTTCGACCACTCTCCTCCTGATAATCTTCTCCATGACTTTGCACACAATACATGTCAGAGACACAGGTCTGTAGTTTAGTGCCTCGTTTCTGTTTCCTTTCTTAAATATGGGGACTACATTAGCTGTCTTCCATTTCTCAGGTAGTTGCCCAGTTTCAAGGGATGTGTTGAAGATTGTGGTTAGAGGCACACACAGCATCTCTGCTCCTTCTCTAAGGACCCATGGGGAGATGTTGTCCGGTCCCATCGCCTTTGAGGTGTCAAGGTCACTTAAGAGCTTCTTCACCTCCTCCTCAGTTGTTCGTATTGTTCGTATGTGTGTGTGCATGTGTGTGTGCATGTGTGTGTGCATGTGTGTGTGCATGTGTGTGTGTGCATGTGTGTGTGTGCATGTGTGTGTGTGCATGTGTGTGCGCATGTGTGTGTGTGTGCATGTGTGCGTGCATGTGTGTGCATGTATGTGCATGTGTGTGCGCATGTGTGTGTGCGCGTGTGTGCACGCACGCATGTGTGCGAGTGCAAGCGAACAAAATATTACTCATGATCACACAAGGATACGGAAGAATGCACATGAGAGACTTCTTAACCTTCAACTGGCAGAACAAGAGGCCATAACTATACTCTAAGATGATTTACTGAAAGTTTACTAAGAAGTTTAACAAACAGTAGTAAATACCAAAGTAGTGCACAAGAGGAAGTAGTAAGTGCTAAAACAATTGCAATTTTTTTTATATATATTTTTTTAGATACATGTTACCCGTTTGATGTTCTGAGGATTATCCTCCCTATGGCCTGGTTTCAGACCAGGACCCACATGTTAAAAAGCAAATAGTATTACAACATTAAGAACTATTAAGAAGAACGTAGGGATATAAAAGCATTGTGCACAACCGAATTTAAGTAGACGTTTGTAAAATTTACCCGTCATGTGTGTTCATGAGAGAGGAAGATGATGAGCAACACTGCCAGTGAGAATTTTTTTTTAGTAGGTTGCATTTCATACCCTTCGACAGGGCAGTAGTAAGTCCCCGAGTGGTTACTGTCTACCAACATGTACCTACACTGAATATTTAAAATGGTAACACCATAGCTTAGTTCTGCTCCAATAGCTACAAAGAGGTAATCACACAACACTTTTTTTTTTTTTTAACAAGTCGGCAGTCTCCCACCGAGGCAGGGTGACCCAAAAAGAAAGAAAATCCCCAAAAAGAAAATACTTTCATCATCATTCAACACTTTCACCTCACACATAATCACTGTTTTTGCAGAGGTGCCCAGAATACAACAGTTTAGAAGTATATACGTATCAAAATACACAATATATCCCTCCAAACCGCCAATATCCCAAGTTCCTCCTTTTGAGTGCAGGCATTGTACTTCCCATTTCTAGGACTCAAGTCCAGTTATATAAAATAACCGGTTTCCCTGAATCCCTTCACTAAATATTACCCTGCTCACACTCCAACAGCTCGTCAGGTCCCAAATACCATTCGTCTCCATTCACTCCTATCTAACATGCTCACACATGCTTGCTGGAAGTCCAAACTCCTCGCCCACAACACCTTTACCCCCTCTCTCCAACCTTTTCGAGGACAACCCCTACCCTGCCTTCCTTCCCCTACAGATTAATAAAGCTCACCATGTCATTCTACTTTGATCCATTCTCTCTAAATGACCAAACCACCTCAACAAACCCTCTTCAGCCCTCTAACTAATACTTTTAACTCCACACCTTCTCCTAATTTCAACACTCCGAGTTTTCTGCATAATATTTACACCACACACTGCCCATAGACAGGACATCTCCACTGCCTCCAACCACCACCTTGCTGCAGTATTTACAAACCAAGCTTCACACCCATATAAGAGTGTTGGTACTACTATACTTTCATACATTCCCTTCTTTGCCTCCATAAATAACGTTTTTTGTCTCCACATATACCTCAATGCACCACTAGCCTTTTTTCCTTCATCAATTCTATGATTAACCTCATCCTTCATAAATCCATCTGCCGACACTTCAACTCCCAAATATCTGAAAACATTCACTTCTTCTATACTACTCCTCCCTAATCTGGTATCCAATTTTTCATCTAAATCATTTCATACCCTCATCACCTTACTCTTTTCTACGTTCACTTTCAACATCCTACCTTTACACACTCCCAAACTCGTCTACTAACCTAAGCAATTTTTCTTTAGAATCTCCCATAAGCACAGTATCATCAGCAAAAAGTAACTGTCAATTCCCATTTTGTATTTGATTCCCCACAATTTAATCCCGCCCCTCTCCCAAACAACCTAGCATTTACTTTTTTTACAACCCCATCTATAAATATATTAAACAACCATGGTGATATTACACATTCCTGTCTAAGACCTACTTTTACCAGGAAGTAGTCTCCCTCTCTTCTACACACCCTAACCTGAGCCTCACTATCCTCAAAAACTCTTTACAGCATTTAGTAACTTACCACCTATTCCATATACTTGCAACATCTGCCACATTGCTCCTCTATCCACTCTATCATATGCCTTTTCTAATCCATAAATGCAACAAAAACTCCCCTACCTTTATCTAAATACTGTTCACATATATGCTTCAATGTAAACACTTGATCTACACATCCCCTACCCACTCTAAAACCTCCTTGCTCATCTGCAATTCTACATTCTGTCTTACCTCTAATTCTTTCAATAATAACCCTACTGTACACTTTTCCTGGTATACTCAGTAAACTTATTCCTCTATAATTTTTGCAATCTCTTTTGTCCCCCTTCCCTTTATATAAAGGGACTATATGCACTCTCTGCCAATCCCTAGGTACCTTCCCCTCTTTCATACATTTATTAAACAAAAATACCAACCACTCCAACCCTATATCCCCCATGCTTTTAACATTTCTGTCATGATCTCGTCAGTTCCAGCTGCTTTACCCCCTTTCATTCTACGTAATGCCTCATGCACCTCCCCCACACTCACATCCTGTTCTTCTTCACTCCTAAAAGATGGTATACCTCCCTGGCCAGTGCATGAAATTACCACCTCCCTTTCTTCGTCGTTTAAAAATACCTCAAAATATTCTCGCCATCTACCCAATACAGTGGACCCCTGCATAACAATTACCTCCGAATGCGACCAATTATGTAAGTGTATTTATGTAAGTGTGTTTGTACGTGTATGTTTGGGGGTCTGAAATGGACTAATCTACTTCACAATATTCCTTATGGGAATAAATTCGGTCAGTACTGGCACCTGAACATACTTATGGAGTGAAAAAATATCGTTAACCGGGGGTCCACTGTACCTCCATCTCCCCATCTACTAACTCCCCTACTCTGTTTTTAACTGACAAATCCATTCATTCCCTAGGCTTTCTTAACTTGTTTAACTCACTCCAAAATTTTTTCTTATTTTCATTAAAATTTCTTGACAGTGCCTCTCCCACTCTATCATCTGCTCTCCTTTTTGCACTCTCTCACCTCTCTCTTCACCTTTCTTTTACTCTCCATATACTCTACTCTTCTTACAACACTTCTGCTTTGTAAAAACCTCTCATAAGCACCTTTTTCTCTTTTATCACACCCTTTATTTCATCATTCCACTAATCACTCCTCTTTCCTCCTGCACCCACCTTCCTATAACCACAACTTCTGCCCCACATCCTAATACTACATTTTTTAAATTATTCCAACCCTCTTCACCCCCCCCCCCCCACTACTCATACTTGCACCAGCCCACCTTTCTGCCAATAGATGCATAAATGTAACAAAAAACAAGATGTACCTTGACAATTTCCACAACCTTCTCCACAACTTCTGGTTTGGGCTGCTGAACAGTTTTGGTAGCAACCTGTAATGCCTTGCTCTCAAACTCACTCAAGAATGCCCCTTGATCCTGAAATACAAAACAAAGAACAAAACAATTTTAGTAAAAATTACTGGTAATTCCACTATTTAACAGATTTCCAATCATAAATATGCAACAATAAAATACACCTTGTACTGTACAAAGAGTAATATTAATAGTTAATCTGAAAGTGCTTTGAATCGCCTTACATCAAATCGAAGGTAATTTCTAACCCTGATTTGAAAGTTTCATCAAAATGTTTATTAAAGTTAACAAACAGGTATAATCCATTATAGCCTTGAAACTATTCATACAGTAAACTCTTAATCAGAAATGTCTCAAATTTAGAAAATCCAAAATTAGAGTTCAAAATGCTCTCTGAAATCTGAACTTTCCAAATTAGTGAAAATGTATAATTCAGAAATTTCTTGCTCAGATAATTCTGAATCTAAATTCTATGTTGAATTGACATAAACTTCCAGTTTATTATTCAGAATTTTCTGTAATTTGCACAAACTCCAAATTAGTCCACATTAAAGAAATCACTGGAAATACTATTGTATTAAGTTGGACGTACAACAGTTAAAACCCTCAAATTCACAGCCTTCAAAATTCTCATGCTTCGATTACCCACAGTTTTGGCTGAAGGGTTTCCTCTGAATAACTCTGATTTTTCACGACTTTTGGCACAATGAAAATCTGAAGAAAAAATCAAATTATATTTTGTATCTTCTCTGATGTAAAAATTACTGTAGGTTTGTTCCAATTATTATTTTACATATGAACAGTGTAGTCAAAACAAAAGCAATTATAAAAGAAAATGAGGTACATATAGAGCAGAAGGGCAGTCGTGTGCCATCCACCTCCACTCACCTTGCACATATATACGTATTGACAAAGCCATCACATGCAGAATTATATTTTGCTGAAACAGCTGGATATACTACCTACTTTTACATAAAGGCATGTGCTCAAGGTCTATTTTTTTTTTTTTAAGTGCAAGAGAAAATGAAAGTGTCTAGCAGAAGGGTTGACATGCGCTTCCCAGATCTGTTAGTGAATAAGAATTACTGTGTTTTGGGGCTCATTGTGCCACCTACTGCCACTAAGGTAGTACAGGTAGACTGATAAACAGCAACCACCTAGGGAGGAACTACCATAATGAAATGGAAGTCTAAAAGTCTTGCCTTTTGACTGCTAGTCTTTTATTTGTCTCAATCATATAATATGTCGGATAAATCTTATGAAATTCTACCTACATTCAGTATACTGTAATGAACAATTGTCTTGCTAATGAGCTGTAGGGCAATGATCCCTGGATATGGATTTAAATCTAGAAAGTACAGTTCATTTTTTGAAAGCTAGTAAATGGAGAGATTTGGAGAGAGCAGTGATACTGTCAGTAATGTTAGTTAAAAGTAAGAGATTGTAATCCAATTATTTTATTCAATATTTACATTAAATGTCCATATAAGAGCCTCGCTCAGATATCAACTGCATTACTACCGTTATGTAAGCTGATAAATGACATTTATTAATATGACATAAGAACACAGGACCACAAATGTGTGTTAAGGAAGGTGGCCATGTAGCTTCAATTTTTAATTTATTCCATATTTATGTGGACAATCAACATGAAAGCTTTCAGTATATACACGTTCATACACATGTTGCATAATAAATCCCAACAATGTTATCTGTACATATACCTCATAGGTAATAAATTTCAACTATCAAGTTATCTGATGACTGACCTTGAAGAAATAAGATTCTGGGAGGTGGGAAAGAGCAAGAATATCAGAGAATATTCATTTAATATTCATAAATACTGTATTCACAGTGAGGTTAATGGTACCTTCATTAGTACAGTATACTCTAAGCTCATTTACAGGATTAGGCCCATGCTTTCACTCCTTTGAACCAAATTTAAAGAAAATACCATAAAAACTTTAATCAACAGGTGCTATTCAATATGTTCTACTTGGTATGTGTTTGACAGTGAAATTAAAATTCTTGTAGAATTTTTTTTAAGTAATAGCTAATCAATGCCATTATCTGAAATATTTTAATCATTCTTGGAAAAACAAGTTCTCTATTAAAATACCTTTTGTTACAGTTCCTAAAGATGTTTGCTACACTGAACTTTCATTTTATGGACATCCAAATTTTATTAGGAAGCAGTGTCAAAACTACCACAAGCTAATTACCCACAAATAAAATTTCAATTAATTTTTGTTCTTAGTCTTTCCCACCTGCCAAAATTACAAGTTATCTGTATATACACTTGATATATAATTCAACAATGGTAAAATGAGAATGTGAGTGAACAAGAGAATTTTTTTTTTATCATTATTAACACATCGGCCGTTTCCCACCAAGGCAGGGTGGCTCGAAAAAGAAAAACTTTCATCGTTCACTCCATCACACTCTTACACTACAGCTATAAAATTGCAATGTAACACCCTGAGTGAAGTAGCACTTGGCAGGCAACAGCAAGGGACAGCTGCTATTGACGATAAGATATACTACAAAATAATACTTATAGAATTATTGCTTGCTTTCTTTGTCCACATGTATAACATCCCTTAATTCTATCCCACAATATATTACTTAAATTACATAAAAAACACCAGTATCTAAACAATCAGAATACAGTACAGTACTTGAATAATGGCATAAGCTGACAGGTGGCAAGACACTATGTTGTAGGGAAACTCGTATTATAACTTCGCCCAGGACTGGAGGAAAAAGCAGATAAACCACCTTATAAGACAAGCAAGCACTGTGAGGTTATTACAGTCTACACTCCCACAGGAACTGGAGAACAGCAGTGCAGTTGTCTCAGGAGGATAGAACTCCATGCAGAATTCTGGAGGTAGCCACAATTCATTCAAGTGATACTATCAAGCAAAACAAGGAACTGTACTTCTGGCAAGACCTACTACTCAATGTCCATTATTCATATAATAAAATTTTTACCTACAGTATCAGTTGAAGGAAATGTGGCTACCTCCAGAATCTTATACAGTGGACCCCCGCTTAACGATCACTTCCCAATGCGACCAATTATGTAAGTGTATTTATGTAAATGCGTTTGTACGTGTATGTTTGGGGGTCTGAAATGGACTAATCTACTTCACAATATTCCTTATGGGAACAAATTCGGTCAGTACTGGCACCTGAACATACTTCTGGAATGAAAAAATATCGTTAACCGGGGGTCCATTGTATTTAGTTCTGTCCTGATACAACTGCATCACTGCTCCCCCAGTTCCAAGTACAGGGAACCCCGGTTATAGGCCGTCACGGAAATCGGCCGATTTGGAAATCAAGCACTTTTATTGGCGAAATTTTGCTCCAGATATCGGCCATGCTCTCGGACATAGGCCATATGAGACGCGTCACCACCAATCAACGACACTCTTCCTCACGCGTATCACACTCAGTCTGCATCTCTCTCTCGTTGGATTAGGAATACTTCACAGCTTCATCCATTGTTTCTGGTGTTTTTTTTTTATTGCAACTGTGAAATTCCTCCCCCAACAAGTGTTCAGTTGTGATGAAACAGGCCTCTTTTGGAAGAAAATGCCAAAGAGGACCTACATTACACAGGAGGAAAAGGCACTGCCAGGACAAAAGCCTATGAAAGACAGGCTAACTCTCCTGTTCTGCGGTAACTCTAGTGGGGATTTCGAAGTAAAGCCTTTACTCACGTATCACTCTGAAAATCCCCAAGTGTTCAAGAAAAATAACGTAATGAAGAGTAAATTGTGTGTGATGTAGAGGGCTAACAATAAGGCATAGGTCACGAGGCTAATTTCCACTGAGTGGGTCAATGAAGTGTTTGGCCCTAGTGTGAAAAAATACCTCCTGGAAAATAAATTGCCACTTAAGTGCCTCCTGGTACTGGACAATGCTCCTGCTCATCCTCCAGACTTGGAAGACTAATTGTTTGAGGAGTTTAAGTTCATCAGAGTTTCAAAGGTGCTTTGAAATGACCTCGGACACTGAATTGACCGTAAGAGCTCTGGAGGGATCACTTCAATATCCTCCAATGCATAAGCCTTATAGATAAGGCTTGGCAGGGAGTGATTTCCAGGACTTTGAACTCTTCTTGGAGAAAACTGTGGCCAGATTGTGTCCTTGAGAAAGGATTTTGAAGGGTTTGAGGCTAACCCTGTTGTGGAGTGTATTGTATCATTGGGGAAGTCCATGGGGTTGGATGGGAGTGGTGAGGATGTGGAAGAATTGGTGGAGGACCACAGGGAAGAGCTAACCAATGAAGAGCTGCAACACCTTCAACTGGAAACAGCAACAGACTGCAGCTGGGGATATTGCTTCAGAGGAGGAAGTGGGGGGAGAATGAGCCTTCACTGATTAAGGACATTTGTGCAAAGTGGGATGTGCAAAGTTTTGCAGAGTGTTATCACCCTGACAAAACTGCTGCAACCCGTGTCTGCACCATGTTCAATGACAATGTCTTGTCCCATTTTAGGCAAGTTTTACAGAGACGCCAGAAACGGGCCTCTCTGGACAGATATTTTGTGTGACAGGGGTCCAGTGACTCAAGTTGGTCCTAGTGCCAGTAAAAGACAAGAAGGGAAATAACCCCAGAAAGGTAATCAGTCCTTCCTCTCTCCTCCTCGTCTTCTTCCATATGCCAACAAGCTTTCAATAAAGGTATGTAATGTTCATTTATTATTAAAATTACTGTATTTCTTTCTAGTCATTTTGTGTATGTAAAACTATAGTTAATCTTTAAAAAATGCATTTTTTGATAATATTTTTGGGCGTCTGGAACAGATTAATTGTACTTACATTATTTCTAAAGGGAAATATTGATTCGGTTTTAGACCATTCCAGATTCAGGCCAACTTCCTGGAATGGATTATGGCCTATAACCAGGGTTCCACTGTACTTTGTATATATAAAGTACTAGAACCTCTTGGCTATTCAATGCTTTAAACATTGTTTCAAACATATAAAAATTTACACCTTTGAGATATACGTCGAATGTGTAAATTTTTATACGATAGGAACTATTACAG